TTTTTACTACAATCATTTACAAGGAAGAAAAGGCTTGACTAAACTTAGGGGAGCAAGAGAACTTGATCCAGTAGAATCCACTGGTTCAGAACTGATCTTCCCAGTGGTTTAAGGAAGCTGTGAGATCTTCCATGGTTTTCATGACTTGGACAATGTAAATTCCCATACCAACCAGTGGGGTCTTTGGTGATTTCCATAGCAGGGTAATACATGCCATTGCTGAATTCGAGTTCAGTGGTTAACTCTTGCAGCGCGGGGGTAGCTCCACAGCAAGGGTTAACTTTGCTTCTGGCTGGAGCTCTTCTTTAAATATAATTTCTGCTGAAAAGTTACTAGCATAAGAAATAAACTAATCACTTACCACATTAATTGTGTCTGTGGGTACCTCCATAAGAGTTGGCTGTTGGTAACTAGTAGAGAGAGCTTGAGATTCAAGAGTGCTGGAGTCCTGTAACTGTTGCACAGCTGGGAAAGAAGTTTGTTGGCTGAATCCATCAGTTACTGTAAAGCCTAAAATAGATTTTACAATATTAGACACAATACAACAGTTGAATAGAAATTCATAAAGATGAACTTGGAATGAATGCGCTTACCTTGTGGTAGCCCTTGCTGATCATATGGCTGTGGAGGTAAAACCTGAGGCTCATAGTGGCCAATATTCTCTTGTAAGGCATGCTGAGAAGTCACAAATCTATCTGAAAAAGTACATACACCTTGAAAGAAATTTTTTGGGGGAAAAAGTTGTATGTTGGTAAAAAGGGTTGAGTAAGTTTATGGGTAAACAGTATTTTTTAAACCACTGTTCACATTGACATTTTTAGAAGGTTTATTTGTATTATGTGCAGATCTAATATTACCACAGCCAACAATCTCCTGATCAACTCCCTTTTAACCAAGTTGCATGTTTCACAAGGATTATGATAATAAATGTTCCTGAACGTTAGATATGGAATTGAATAAGAAATTCTTAGGATTGAAATAATGCTATAATATATTTATTCCTAAATATAACTGTACTGATTAGAAATATCTTTTCATCTTGTATATTCTTAGCTTTACTTACTTTGTTCGCTGGGAGTCTGTTTAAACAGCCCCGATGCTGGCGACGTACACTGTACGTCGTCAGTCACGAAGGGGTTAAGACTCAAGCTGACTGTCAGAACTGAGAGGTTGGTCTGACCGGATGTTTTCCAGCCCCTCAAGCTAGCCAAACACTGCTTGAATTTTGGCCAATTCCTGCTGAAAGCACCCCCTCTCCCCTTCTACAAAAGTTAATTTTAAGGAGCAGGAGCCAGTCCAAAAATTCTCGGCCAATCGGCAGCTGCATTAAACCATTGAGGATTCCCCACGGATGGGGAATCGGTGGGTTTCTCTCGTTCAGTCCGTGGGGCTAAACAAGAGAAATTATGAGAGTGTATGGCTAGCTTTACTTGCATATATGCCTCTTTTATTAAACTGTTAGGCACAATAAAAGACAGCATTGTATTATTAGCATAAAACTAAACATTGACACAAAATAAACTGTCAAATCTCAAATGCCTTCAAGCTCAGATTCTCAGCGGGATCTCAGGGTTAAGGCTTTTCTCCATAGTTCTCCTTAGGGTAACGGGAGGACACAAACTAGCATCCTCCCGTCACCCTAAGCTCAGTATACCGCGAGCAGTAGCTCGCGGTATACTGAGACGCCGCAGCATACCACGAGCTACTGCTCGCGGTATACTGAGACGCCGCAGCGGAAGCGGATCCCGACAATTACGTCTGGATCCGCCCAGCTGCGTGAGTGACAGCTGGCTCTGCCTATCTAGAGGCAGAGCCAGCTGTACCCGCCCCCCCCCCCGTCCGATCCGCCAGTCAGCGCTGGCGGATCGGGGAGGGGAGAACCCAGCCCCTGTCATGGTTCTCTGCCGTGACAGGATCGAGAGGTGAGCGAACGCCAGTATGTGTTCGCTCACTTCTCGATCTACTGAGCCGACCTGTGACAGTCTCATTGTCACAGGTCGGCTAGAACTATGAGGTGAGTGAAAAGCACTCACCTCATAGTTCTCCTTTAAGTACAGCTATGTAAGGGGGCAAACCAATATTTCATAAGTATTCCTGCAATTTTAAAATAATTTAAGAGTCAATATCAAAATTACTGCATACCTCAAGATATGACAGGATTTTAAAAAAAACTTTGCAGGGAGCTGTATTTGTTTTTAAAGTGGAATTTTAGTATTGCCCCTGTGAAAAGATATACTTTATGCCTTTAACCTCTTGAAGACCAGGTGTTTATTTTTTTTGTCGCCCCCTGTTTCCCAGTCTTCTTCCGGTTCATCCTTGCGGTCTGGACTCCACAAGCGGCTGCCGCCAGATCCGCTAAGTAGGTGCCGTCTCCCGATCGCCTAGAAGCCGGTGAGTGTGGGCAATGTGCGGGCTGATGGCATGTAGCTGTCCGCTATGTAGATGTAGATGTTTTGGGAGCCAATATGTGTGGGCAGTGTGCGGGCGGGTGGCGCGTAGCTGTTCGTGCTAAACGCACTCAGCCGCCATCAGCTTCCGGACACGCCCCCCTCCGTCATTCGGTCAGCTGTTCATCGATCCCTCACGATTCAAATCGAAGACCAGGTGTTTAGACCCCCTTCCTGGCCAGGCCATTTATCAGTGTTCAGCGCTGCGGTACTTTGACTGACATTTATTCCGTCATGCAACGCTGTACTGAAATTAATTTTATACAATTTTTTAATACCAATTTTTGGGGACAGATAGAGCTTTCTTTTGGTGGTATTTAATCACCACTGGGGGTTTTTATTTTTTGCTATATTTCATAAAATTTACTGAAAATCTTGAAAAAATTAAGTTGTTTTTTTTTTTACATTATGTTAGGAAACAATTATTATTACCCAATTTTTTTGTAAAATATAAAAGACGGGGTCACGTCGGGTAAATAGACACCAAACATGTCATGCTTCAAAGATGGTGCGCACCCACGAAATCGCAAGAAAAGCTACCATACCCAAAATTGACCACAGGCAACGCTTTAAAATCTTTACCGCTCATCAGTTTAGTGTTATCAGTGATTGATGACCCTAAAATGATTGCTCTCACTGTGACATCCGCGGCGATATGTAACATGTGCGGCGTAATGGGCGCAAACGCCGTTTTCCCAGGTATGCGCACACAACGCATGTTTGCATGCGTGTATGTATAAGTGGGGGCTTTTTAAAAAAAATGTAATTCTTTTTTATGTGTGACTTTAATTTTTTTTGGGAAGCAATTTTTTTTCCTATTTTTTTTCCCACTTAACTTTATTGCTATCACGTAGGGGGCAAAGAAACCCCCCTATGTGATAGCAAAAGATGTGACAGGTCCTCTTTATGGAGACATCAGGGGTCTCCAAGACCCTTAATGTTACCTAGGACCCCCCAAAGAAGCTGATGAAGCAGAGATCTGCTTCATCAGCTTCTCTCCAGCGTATGAAGCTGGAAAGTGACACAAGAATGCGGAAGTGATGTAATATACATCACTTCCGCATTCTGACAGCAGAGGGAGATTGTGTACCGACCTCCCTCTGATCCCCTGTGACAGAGGCACTATGCAGGTCCCGGGCTCGCACCAGGACCTGCATAGGAGGGGCTGCGGAGGGGGGTGTTTAACGGGCCGGCAATTCATACAAGTGATCCGCCGGCTCCATAGCTGGCGGATCGCTTGTATGTTAACAGGCATCGGTGCCTGTTTTTAAATTGATGGTGTTTCCCGCTCGCACGGGCGCTAGTGGGCGTGGCTGAGCGGATGTCTAAAGACGCCCGCTCAGATCTAGAGAGCTCCCGGCCGGCCGTTCTTTTACAACGGCTGGCCGGGAGGTAGTTAAAAAATGTGTATCTTAAGGCAAAACTTTGTTTCAGTTTTTAATCAAGTGGGGAATGGTTATAACCTCTGTCGGGTTTCTATTGATGTGCACCCTCTGGGAAGACTTTTCCCTTACTATTTGTCCTGGTAACCATTGTTAGTGAGGGAAAATCCGACATTTTGAGTTTTCACTAAAACAGAAACATACAGGAAATCTTCAAATGTGGACACTTGTTCTGATGACAACGGTCTAAGAGGGCTTCATCTCACTTTGGAGAGACTTCCTCTCACTTCCTGTTGAGTCTACAATTGTGCCTCTGTGTGTATTGTGTATGTATGGGATAATAAATTGTCATTACTGTTAAAGGTTTACCTTCTTCAGCTTGTAGAGGTTGTTCAGCAAGCGTCTGCTCTAGAGCAGGTGAGACCGTATCCATATCTGGCTGTGGGCTTAGCTGTAAAATTGCTTCCTGCTGTGTGGCTACAGAGGTTTGCTGATGTAGACTAGCCCCTTCTATTTCCACCTGTATTTGATTGGATACATGAATGTGATCTACTGGGGTTTCTTCAGAAGGCATAGGCTGATGTTGCTGGAGTTGGTGGGCAACTTCATATCTAGAAGAGTAGAGAATAGCAAGTAATACTAGCGTAAAGATTACTGTCAAGTGCTGCCACCTCGAAAAGCAATAAATAAGATGAATTGTATATAAACAAAAACATAGAAACTCATACTTAAAAAATCCACTGAAATGCAAAACACTTAAACCCCTATATAAAAAACTATTTTAATCAGTGCGCTTTTGAGTCATTATGACATTGTGCTTATACAACTAGCCCTCTCCTGTATATGACTAATCATCTGTGCTAGCTGATCAATGTGTAAGTTCTAGGGATGCACAGATATATCAGCTGCTGAAACATATTGGCCGAAAATGGCACTTTTGGCATAATGCCGAAATTTCCAATTTTTCTGGCCGATATAGCAGTGCAGCTGCGAGGAGAGAAACTGCTACAGGTGGCCGAGCAATGCGGGAGGAGAGCGCTGTGAGCGGCCAGCCTCTCCTTCCACACCGCTCAGCCTCCTGTCACAGATCGGCAGAGCGGTGTTTGGACGGAGACAGCCCGCGCTGCCACAGCAGGCTGAGCTCTGCTTGCTCAGCCTGCTGTGACAGTGTGTCAGGAAGGAGACGAGTGCAAACACTCAGTGATTAGTGATCGCTGAGTGTTTGTAAATAATTGAGGACAGAGTATGTTTACTGTATCCTCAATTATGGATGAATGTGAAGTGATCCACATCACCTCCTGTTCATTCATGATTGTGGTTATAGTAAACATACTCTGCCCTCATGTTATGAATGAACAGGAGCACTCAGCATAGAGGATTCCTGTTCATTTATAACAGGGGATGCAGAAAAAGAGATAGAGGACTCTGTGTCCTCAATCTCTTTTTCTATTTTAAAAGGGAAATATCAGGGGTCTGTTTAGACCCCCAATATTTTTCCGAAGCCCCTAAAAGTAAAGTAAAACAAAATATTTAGTAAAAAATGAATATAAAAAATTTAAAAGTTTATAAAAAATAAATAAAAATAAAATATTTTAAACATTTGAAAAAGTTAAAATAAAAAACATTTTCGGCTTTGGTCTGACATTTTTTTAAGTTTCGGTTTTGAAATTTTCTTTTCGGTGCACCTCTAGTAAGTTCCTATATCTGCTGAATGTGTTCCAGCATCCAGTTCTAATGTTTAATTCACAATATTGAGAAAGGTAGGAAAAGAATGATTTAGGGCTAAAAATACAAAAGAAAAAGTACCCATTAGTAATTTAGTCACTGTGCTGATGGAAGCTTTTTCTGATTGGATGGTTTGTGCTAACCTTTGCTCCGTCTTACTAAATAAGCCTCGCAGTATGTATAAAGTGTATGCTGCAAGAAAGAGGTATATAATGAAGGGCTTGTTGGCACCATGTCCATTGACCGTACGCATTTTTCTACACATCACCGCACATGTATGGTGTAAACAGGGCACATAGAAAACAATTGTTTGGGGGTGTGCAGAAAAATTAAGCTAAATGAAAATGGTAAGAACAACCCTAAGAAACAGAAGAGGACTTTCCAGTCCTCTAACAGCTCCCACCTTCCTTCTGTTTTGCCTTGCCTGCCTAGAAGGTGAAGCAAATAGAAGAACATATAGAAGGAGTGTTTGAGTTGAAAAACCTATATTCACCTATGTAAGTCATTGAAAGTATTTTATAGTAAATATAAAATCAATTTGTTAGCATGAAATATAAGGGGACACAATGATCACCTTCAAAATCTTAAATCATGGGTAGGAGAATGTTAAGACACTGTCAGCAAGACCTTCCTACCAAGGCAACATATTTTAATACTGATACAATACCTTAACATTGATAAACCTAATCAAGGATGACCAAACCACCTACAGGACTTACCCTACTGGTCTGATAGGGTAAATAAAAGTTCTCTTGACTATAAAGATTTTAGATATGCTATATGAGACAAGAAAAATGCAATATATTTTTACCTAACATTTAAATTCTAAGCAGAAAAATGTCCCCAGTATTGCCAGGACGTATAGATTCATTAGATTCATAGTGTTGAATAAAAACAGCTAGAGCACCAGAACAATGCAGAAGAGGCTTCACAAGGATAGATACACTCAGGCCTCGTGGTCACGTTTGGTAATCCCTGCAGTATGAACTGCATTTATAGGGCAAATGCTGGGCCTCTATTTAACCGACAAGCAAGGGATATAGAACACATATTTAATGCAGAACCTTCCACATCACAGCAGTCACAATCACAATAGTTTCAGTAATGAAAACACGGTCACAGGTTTCCCTCTTGTAATTAGAAATGTCTAATAAAATTATATACAGTATATATATACACACACTGTATAACTGTATATATATATATAGCAAGCTGGATGTATTTGTATACATATATATTTTTATACATAAATGAGTCATTATTTGATAGGAATAAATGTACTGTTCCATTGAGATCAGAGAGACTCAGTAAAAAGACAAAAAAACCCCATCATAATAATACCATATATTCTGTTCACAGTAGCTGTGGTTTGAGGACAATAGTGGCCCTGTCTGCATTCAGCAATTACAACAACTGTAATTAGGCCAGAGGAAAAAAACCTGTACAGCAGACCTAGAAACTGACATAAACAGTTTTATATTGGGAGGGAAAAAAAGTTGAAAATGCAGGAGACATTGTCAAATGTAATGTTATTAACATAATTGTCTGAGTATTTTTGAGTATTTTTAAATATATTTAATCTTAATTCTGTTTATTATCTTGAAAAATAGTTTGAAGCCTAGGCATACAATTGTGAATAAAGAGGTTTCAGTAAATATCAAATTACTGATTTAAACAAAACATGACCCAAGGTTAATTTAAAAAAAAAAATCATATTCCCTCGGCTTTAAATGAAACCTAACATAGACCTGTGCAATCTGAACTGAGCATATGATGAAAAAAATGCATAAGCAGAAGATCCTTTCAATGGAAACTGCATATCAAAATGTAGGAGTAGATCTAGAGATATGGGCAATTGAACTTGCATGCAAATCCTGTCTGTACCTGTAATATTCAAGTTTGGGCCCATTCCTACCTCCTCCTTGTTGGTCCTTTAATAATATAACTGGCCTTAAAGGAGAACTATGAGGTGAGTGATTTTCACTCACCTCATAGTTCTAGCCGACCTGTGACAATGAGACTGTCACAGGTCGGCTCAGTAGATCGGGAGGTGAGCGAACACATACCGGCGTTCGCTCACCTCTCGATCCTGTCACGGCTCTCTGCCGTGACAGGGGAGGGGCTGGATTCCCCGCTCCGATCCACCAGCGCTGACTGGCGGAACGGACGGGGAGGGGGCGGGTAGAGATAGGCAGAGCCAGCTGTCACTCACGCAGCTGGGCGGATCCCGGCCCAATTGTCGGGATACGCTTCAGCTGCGACGTCTCAGTATACCGCGAGCTGCTGCTCGCGGTATTCTGCGCCGTCTCAGTATAGCGCGAGCTACAGCTCGTGGTATACTGAGCCTAGGGTGACGGGAGGACGCTAGTTTGTGTCCTCCCGATACCCTAAGGAAAACTATGGGGAAAAGACTTAACCCCATAGTTCTCCTTTAATCAACATTTGAAAGAATTTGTGGTGGGCTTCACTAAACCCTGGCACACACCGGTACCTGTGTGAAAGCACTTACACAGTTTAAGCACATTAGGCACATGCCAAGCCCATTCATTTCAAATGTAAACACCTTTTTATAAATGCCCTGCACCAAAATGCATGGCACTTTCATACCATGCGTTTTGGCACGATTTTGCACATGTTCCTCCGGCACAAAGGTGTGAATGGGGGCCCGGTCACACCCTTGCGATTTGTCATGCAACAATGCACTACAAGGTGTATCCCATTATTATCTACAGTGTTCGTTGGCACCTATGCGTTGCACTGCCGTGCGACTTAGAAATAGGTGCCCAGTATAACTGATTCTTCTCTCAAAAGTGTGGCTGCTGCGAAAAAACACGTCATAGTGGACCTGATTGCTCAGGAAGCACAACTACAAACAAACAACACAAAAGCAGGGTAGCAGATAGAAGGAAGGTGATGCCTAATTATGTCATAAAAGATATTACTTGTCATTGGCTAAAACATAAACACCAACAAAGCATTAAAATGCATGAACAATTTAATGCAATGCATCAAAAACATGCATCAATGCACAGAAAAACACAATACAAAATGCACTAAAATGCATAAATATGCACATGCAAAGGTGTGAACAGACACTTACAGGAAACACTGAGATTTGTATACAACTCTCTGCACACAACTGTCTGCCTAGATCTCTGTATCTGATGTCTCTTTTGACTTAAATTAACCTCTGCTAATGCTTTTTTTCCATAAGAATTATTTGAATAGCATGTGTGCGACATGTTTACTTTAAAATTGGATTTAATCAGATGTAAAACCACCAATTAATACACTTCTGTATTTATCAAAAACACTAAATGTGGTTGTTTTTTTATGGAACTAGTATAAGTAAATTAATGTTTATACCAGCTTGCTATAATCCTTTGTACAGCAACATTCAAACTAGAAGAGGGAGGGGCAACACCAACAGACGCAGCTGCAGTGCAAACATACTGAAATTGAATATGCTGGAACACACATTAGAAAACAAAAAAACACAGAATTTTGGCTTCCGTCAAAAAAAAAAAAAAAGTACATCAACGCAACATGTTAACAAAATGTAAATCAACGCACTTCAACTGAGTGCACTAGTTCCATTAAAAAACACATTTAAATGTTTTTGATAAATACAGAAATGTTTTAATTGGTGGTTTTACATCTGATTAAATCCAATTTTTAAATTAAACATGTCACACACATGCTATTGAAATAATTCTTATGGCAAAAAAGCATTAGCAGAGGTTAGTTTAAGTCAAAAGAGTCATCAGATCCAGAGATCTAGGCAGACAGTTGTTTGCTGAGAGTTGTATAAATGCTAAATGCAATGCATGTGATGTGAATCCAGCCTTTGTCTTCACAATCCTCTACAGACATTAGTTATACCAGTAGATCTAGGCCTAATGCATTTTGAAAGTAAATGTGAGCTCATAAATAAACCTTTTCGACTTTATTTGAATGTAACTTTTGTACTGGAGTTCAGCAAACTACACACTTATACACGTATACACAAACATTTAAATATTTCTCATTTACCTGTGAGTTTTCATGTGTTTTTTACAGTTCAAGGAGGTCTTAAATGTTTTCTGACAATAAGGGCACATATACGGCCGAAAGTCATTATGAATACCCATGTGACGCCGGAGACTGCCACCTGTCGTAAAAGCTCCATTACATATAGGGCACTTATGGGACCTCAATCCAGTATGAGTTCTAACGTGTGCTTTTAAGACTCCAGATGATGCAAAGCCTCTTCCACACTGAGTACACTTAAAGGGCTTTTCACCAGTATGAGACCTATGATAGAAAAAAAACAAATATATTTACATTTCCTAAAAGAAAAAGAGACACAAATATGTGAAGTTGTCTCTAACTAGCAAAATCTTTCTGTTCTTTGGGAAAATACTGTGAAAGTTTCAAGGTGGTTGGTATTCTGCACCAAGTCTGTTATTCCTAAAGATAAAACGCTTGGTAGAAAATTGATCCAAATACAAAATTGGCGAAACATTAGAAACATAAATAATAGGTATTTCTCATATACCCAATGAATTATGTTGATACTACAATGACATTTTCCAAGCAGTTACATCATACACATATATGCTTGTTTAGTTTTAGACGAAGTGGAAAAAAGTGTTAGAACCCACCTGGTTTTATTTTAGTTTTTTTATGTCCCCACTGAGAATCTATCCTCTGGGGCACAAACTGCAAGAAGACACTATTTTTTTTAGTAAAATGGGTACCATCTGTGTCTTCCTGTTGCATTGAACACCGTTACCTTCATTTATTGTCCTGTTGTCACAGGGACAGAAAATGAGGTGAAATCTCTCCAACAGGGTCTCTAACAAATTACCCAACAACCCCACTCCCAGCACCTTAAAGTGACACTTAACTCAGGAGTTAAATCTTAAAAATGCATTCAAGTACCTTAACTGTTAACAAAAGTGTTTCCTTATTTGTGTATCACTCAGCTGAAGAGCCTCAAATCATCTCTGAATTCATGCTGACACTGCCCTTTCTTCCCTATATGAGTGTTGTGAAGTAGCCATTGCCCCAAGCTCGCTCCCGTGATGGACTACAATCTCACGTTTAGTTTACTCATTTGTATTGAGATTGTAGTCCATCACATGAGTGAGTGAGGAGTGACCCAGATACTGGTGAACACAATGAAGTGGTAAAACCCAATATTAAACCTGACTTAGCATTTAGAAGAGCTTTTTCCCTTTTATAAATTAGAACACATGCCATATCTGTCCTCAAGTCTCACTAACATAGGTAATAGCAATATTTTGAGTTGCTACCAGAACAGGAATAGAGGGAGAATCTTCCAGTGGAGACAATTGTTTCCATGACAACTGTTTAGGAGATTCAACACACATTGGAAAGATCCCTTCTCCCTTCCTGTTGAGTCTACAGGACAAGAATCAAAAGGAAATCTGTAATGAGACACAGATGGCTAAAAATAAGCAAATAAAAAAAAAACTGACAGTGGTTTTAACTCTCCCCAACTCAATTCAACATGAATAAAAATAGTTTTGGCTTTAGAAAAAAATTAAGCAAAGAAAATGGAAGGCTCAGATATATATACACCAGATGTTTATTAATTAAAAGATATCCATTTGCCATTTAAAGTATAGGTTCGGTTGTGATGCACACATACTGGATCCAGAGAGAGTAGACTCCTGGCCATGGCTGGAACAGCTTTCAAATGCTCTCCTAACAAAAGGGTTCCACTGCAAACAGCAGGCAAAAATCAATGAGTGTCACAGAAAAGCTAACTCATCATTATGCAGGAAATAGCCAGTGCTTTGCTAAGTGTTCAGCTATTCAGCTCACTACATTCTTTCAGCCACAGACCTGGACAGCGCTGGGGGACATGAGGAACATGTGTCAGACAGCGTGTCATGACTAACCAGCCTGATGTCAGGAACTAAGTGCCGTTATCTTTCCGGAAATCTGTGCCAAAAACTGAAAGCTAATCTATGCCTCACACAATACCCTTGCATGAGTGGCCTTTAAACTAGAAGAAAGAAACTCCTATAACCACAAGAGCTCTTATGCTGGACTCCCTGACATTTTTAGAATATGGTGTGTAGTAAGGTGTGTAGTGAAAACCTATGTGGTAACTGCTATTCTTGCTGAAAAGACACGTTATTTTAAGATAATGAGATAAAGAAAGAATACAAGGGTTGGTACTGGATCACCAAGTGTTGAAAGCATACACAATGATTTAATCTTTTGTTTATGCAGTTTTATATACTTTGTTTTATACTGCATGAACAACAATATCAATATCTAAAAAGTAAAGTAATCTTTATGTATATTTGAAGAAAAACAACCCTGCTCCCCCTGCCACCCAAGGAATTGTGTTCTGTTCTCTATCAAAACTGATGTGCAAGTACTGTATTCAAACATAACAAGAAATGTATAAGTTGTCACATATCCAATGTGTTATATGTATACATGGGACAATTCAAATTGTGGTAAGATACACCAGTCAATGTTAAAATATAATATATATTAGGATATACCATACAAAATGGCTAAACTGGTCCCTGGTATGTCCTCCTTCAAGATATCTAATAAAGCTGTTTACAGTGGAAAATGGACAACTGTCATCATAGAAACAGCTATACATACCCATCATCAACATTTTAATAATAATTACCTGATGTGCTGTTTTAGGTGGCAGGATTTCTTATAGGCACGTTGACAGTAGTAACACTTGTATGGTCGATCAACTTCATGTGTGTAACTATTAATAAAATAGCTTTGAAAAAACTGACTGTTCCGAGGGATGGGTTGGATAAGACCTTCAAAAGGAAAAATACTGTTTTAGGATGACAATATTTAAAAGTAACTAAAAAGGTACACACAAATAAAATATAGTCTATACTTAGACTGTGTGAACATCTTGCATCCAGCACTTGAACACTCTTTCAGGCAGGGCATTTAAGGTATGGTTAAACACAGTGTTGGCAGTACTCTGTCAATTTTTCAGAAAGTGAATTTGCATACCATACCACGGATGCCAAAGTTAGGGGCTCCCTGCTGCAGCAGATTCTAATGTCAGGAGGAACCAACTAGTACCTGGAGGTGCCTAGTTCTTTAATATAATTTATTAAAAGGTATACATATACTAGGATAGCACAAGTTGGAATATCAGCTCTCGGGTAGACAGCTAGCAGGGTGGAATATTAGCTCTTGGGTAGACAGCTAGCAGGGTGGTGTATCACCTCTTACATACAGAGCTAGCAGGGCTACAGAAGGGCTACAGAAGACATAAAAAGGTCATTATCATATAATCCAATTCAAAACAATAGTAAGTACAAAAAAACAAGTTTGATAACTGACGCCTCTCTAAGCTGTCCTTGGTATTTTCCCACATTTCGACCTTGACTCCCCAAGCCATGTCTACAATAACAATCATTCCCATAGAAAACACACAAAAGCAATATGCTTGCAGTTTGGTTATTGACACGTGTGGCTTTGACCATGAAATGTTCAATTCATGTGGAAAAACCATAAATCCAAACCAATATGATATGTACAGTAATTCTGTAAACTGAACATTTTAGAAATCATCATGAGAGAAATTAATGCATATCAAATAACAGATGTGGCTTTGAGAATTGGCGTTATATTCAGCTAATAGGACCCCCTGAAGATGAGATGTTTTTTTACAGATGTTTTAATGCAATCACACAAGAAAATCTGCACTAAATAATTTGAACTTTCCTATGATAGTTGTAAAAATGTTATGTGATGGAAAAGTGTCATACATCATGCCCATCTCCTAACCAAATCATTACAATGTAATCTATAAGAACAAGTGATACTGCACTTCACACTTAAATAAGTCAGTTCAAATTGGCTGAGATGAAACAGTACATTCTCTGAAAACTGGAGTTCTACGATTTACTTTCAGTCTGCCTGAGATAAGCAGAAAATAGGGCCTTAATATGTTTTTTGATCAGGACAGCATGCTCTTGCCTTACACTTGATAATTGCCAATATAGCATATGAAAAAATAAACCATAAATTACCACACAAGGTCAAAATTTATTAGGATTTCTAGTTAAAATTAAAAGCACGATTTTAATTGTGACCCCTGTCTATTGTAGCAACTTCCCATGATGTTGCTCACTTTTAAATAAATGATAAAAATGTAACAAAAGTGGCATCCCCTGGTGAAGCAATGATGAACACTTACAAATTCATATAAAATGATGTTTTTTTTCAGATCGCACTGCTTTGGAACGGAGAACATTTCTGTACCTCACGTTCTGGTGCGGGCAAACGCACTGCAAGCGGGTTGTGTCTGCGGTGTATTGACATGAAAGGCACAGACACGCCCCCTCCTGCCCCAGAACGCGGCCCGGCTTCATAATAGGGAATCCAGTGCGTTCTGGGTGCGATCTGCACCGGGACGCACAGGATATGGTGTGACTGGGCCCTAAAGCTAACCTGCAAGTGGAGAAGCTTTTTCAAGTACACATTTAAATCAGGGATTAAAGCGTCCCTTCTCTGATTCATTCAGCAGTGTCAGTGGCCAGAATAACAGGCTACTGGCAGCTTAGTTTCAGCTGACTCAGGAGAAGTGATAGAGAACTGCCTCAACTGAACCACCCATTGGCTGAAAGTAGTAAATATGAACTTTTCATGCGTAGGTGCTCATATTTATCAAACTTAAATGGATTGTTTTAAATTTGTTTTGTTATTCTTGAACATAATAAAAAGGAAGACATATACAAAAACACTATACTTTCAATCAAAGTATGCATTATGACACGCTTTACAATTGCTTTAAATTTTGCATTTTAATGGCAGGGTGCACAAACACTGTTTTTTTCCCCCCCTAACTTACTATATACTGTACTTGTGTCTCTGTACAAACAAACACAGTCATTATAATTCGGAGCACAATCAAGTTGCTATGAAATTAGTTGGCTCAGCACAAGTTGGCAAACAGTCACAAGAAAGCATTTAAAATGTGTGGAAGAAGTAGAAAGCTGACTCTGTAGGGAAATGGCACTTTGATCATATTGGTATTCTGAGCTTGTTGTTTCTGCTATTATACAGGCATGTCCTTGAAATTTGTAATAACATAAAAAAAGAAACATTTTAAAACCCCAAAAATATGAAAAGATATCAAAACATTGCATTTTTAAATAAAAGGTTGTTTACCAAGATGACAGAGGAAACAAAAAACTAAACAGTTGACCTTTTAACCCATCAGTACTTGTCAATGTTACATTTTTGTGGAAAAAGCCCAGAAGCTTCCCATTGCTCTGCAGCACCTGCTAGCTAGCTCATACTGTATTTTCTTGTATTTGGCCTTATTAACCAGTTCAGCTCCAGAGTTTCCATTTATTAGTTTTGGATAGGGTTAGAACCATTGTCTGGTTTTTTTTACTTCTATCCAGAGATATTTTGCCTCACTTTCTGTCTTGGTGACAATGGTGTCACCACAAAGGAAGTGAGGTTAAACCTGTAACAAGGATACAGGGGAAAAAAAATCTGTGTGGCTCTTACAGGGTTCCACCTAATTCCTGCCAGTTAAGATGTTGTCAGCAGGACAGGAAATTATAAATCTCTCTAATGGAGCCCAGGCAGCAGTTATGACCTGACAGATGTTTTAACTAGGAATGCACCAATACTAGTATCCGTGCCGATATCAAGTATTTGGGCGAGTACTCGTACTCGCCCAAATGCTCCGACACCTTTCCTGATACTGGAACTTCTGGTCAGAGGGAGGTTTCCTCTGACCGGCGGTGCAGCGAGGGAACATGGAGCAGGGAAACTGATTCCGTGCTGTTTGGCGTCAAGCCAGGCAAACAAATCTGATAATATGGCGACACGACCCCCACCCTGCAGACAAATCATTCCCCTCACATAGATCCTTAGCAGCACTTATTACCATACCAGTTGGGCAGACACCGCTCTCCAAGCTCTCCCGGATCTGCCCACGTCTCTTGTGTGCACAGTGCCCGCGTGATCGGCCCTCAGCCTGCTATTGTGCAGGATTTCTGAATGAGAGCGCATGCGCAGTAGCAGGCTGAGGGCTGATCACGTGGGCGCTGTACATACAGGAGATGTGGGCAGATGCGGGAGAGCTTGGAGAGTGGTGTCTGCCCAGCTGGCAGAGGGACTGGTACAGTAATGACTGCTGCTAAGGATCTATGTGAGGGGAATGAGGTGTCTGCGGGGTGGGGGCCGTCTCACCATATTGTCAGATCTGTTTGGCCGGCCTCGATGCCGATTGGCTGTGTAGCCGGCTTCCCGGTTAATCAGCATCAAGTCGGCCAAACAGAATGGAGTTGGCTTCCCAGGCAATCAAGAAGCCGGGCGGTGGGTAATGGCATGCCGCCTGGCTTCCTGATTGCCCTGGAAGCCAGCTCTATGCTACCGGAAGTACCGGTATTGGTAATGGGTTTCGGCGAGTACCGAAATATAAATATCGGTTCTCGTACTCAATACCGAAAAACCGGTATCAGTGCATCGCTAGTTCTAACCCTTCCCCACTCTATTAAAAACTAAAGCCAGGCCAGACTTTTTTTTGACAGAGCTGAGAAGGGTTAGAACCCCTGTCATTTCTGTCATTACTATCTCGATTTTTCCTCATTTTCTGTTCTGGTGGCAATGGTATCACCAGGCAGGAAGTGAGGGGAAAAATCTACAAGAAACACAGGCAGACAATACCTTCCAACAGGTGTTCTATTCTTCATCTACCCTACTAGAAGAATATTATTTTTTTTCTTTCTTGCTGTTGGAAAGTTCCTGTCTAGTGCAACTGTGGTCAGCAGGGCAGAAAGTAACATCTTTCTAATGAAGCCCTGGATAGCAGTAAAATAATAAAACAGGTTAAAATCCTTCCCCTCTGTATTCAAACTATAAATAAATATCAAGCTGAAAACCTTTTTCTTCAAGAAGAACTCTGGTAAAACTGGAGCAGGCAAGTATAACTTTTTTATTTTAGCACCTAGACAAAAACGAGCACTTGACCCTTGAGCCCCACTGTAAGGGTTAATAATAGTTTTGCCCCAGAATTCTACTTGAAGTGTATATCAAGCCAAAATTAAGAATATTTTTTCCCCCTTAAAGTATACGTAAAGCTCAAATTTGTATTCATAGTTTGTGTGGGGAACCCACGTCAGGTTTTACTGTGACAGAGCTGGGGGGGGGGCTTAAATGGGCTTTTAGGTGCAGGCCAGTGCATTTGCATGTGTTTGTGATGCATGTACATGTGTTTTGGTGCATTCCTGACCAGCAAAAATAGTGCATGCAGCATTTGTTTTCTCTGCACTAGAACGGACTGCACTTGTGTGAACAGAGTCCTGAATTACAATAGGAATACATTGGGATGCATTTCAGGTGCAGACAAAAAATTTTCTGGTTCCAGATCTGATCAGGACATGGTGTGCACAAGCCCTTTGAGAGATTTCCACTCTTTCCTGCTGACAAGGCAGGAGTACTAATCCCCTTCCCCACTCTATCCTTGCCTAAAATAAATACATACATTTTGGCTTTCGTAAGCTACCAGCCAATTAATTTAGCAATATATTTGACACTGTACTTTTTTTTTTCCTAGGCCCTTCTAGGCTTCCTCTTGCTGGTATTTGGTTTATATTCTTTTATATATGTTAATATTATACAATTTAAGAGTTCTTTAAACTACAAAACTGGAGTTCTGTTTGAAGGGATTGTCTATTGATGTCACACCTAAAAAAAATCTACAACATTTGTAGAGTAATAAGCTAAAGGTGTCACATGGCATCTTTTGCAAAAGGTACATAATGCAATACTAAGGAAATAAAACTAAATTTACAGAATTGTGCACCCTCTCCAATATTACTGCTTACCCAAATCTGTGATGAGTATAGGCTCCTGCAATGGGATTTCTGCCATCGAGACATTATTCTTTCCAGTACGTATTTTGCCAGGCTTGCGCTGTTGGCGTAACTTCCGTAGCTCACACTGTTTAAAATGTGAGGCTATGTGAGTTTTTCTGTGTCCTGAAGTACGGAATTTTTTTTCACAATGTGGACAAGCAAAAGGTCTAACACCTGAGAATGAAAAAACACAATTTTATAAAAACTGGATTCTTCATATTCAGAATGACTGGGGCTTTGGAAATAATCTTTCTATCTTTTGCAGACATATGGTAATGTACTGTATTGTTGTGTTGTAATTGTGCTGCAATTTGTTGCATGATGTTACAATTTAAAAAGTAGTTTTATTCTTCTGAATGCACAAAGCATTGTTATCCTTATTACAATTACCAGCAAAGCTTCATGCAAGTTCTAGAAAAAAAAAAGCTTTTTTGATCCATGATATTTTTATAGAACAAAGCATCTGCATTTTGGTTTATCTTTGCACTTTCTTAGAAACAACATTTTAGCAAACATGTCATACCTGCATAAGAATATCACAAACAAGATTGTAAAAAACACAGTTCTAACTGCAGAATGGATATTACCTTCCACAAATAAATTAAAATGATATTTAGATACCGAAGTATCTGTTCAACTGTGAATACTTGCGAGTGTGACACACAGTATATGTGTGTCACACTCACATGTGCAAAACATACCCCCCCAATTGCAAGCACAGCCCTCAACTGTGATTGCCGCTTACGTTTACCCCTTTAAATGAATGAAAGGAATACAGACTGTAATTGCTGTCTGCACACTCACCGGGGACTGGCTCTCACTTCCTGTCAAAGTCACACCTTTTATCAAGATGGAATGTGAGAGGAAAATATAAAGTTTGACAAGTGACTGCAACCTTCCAATAGGGACATCTATAGCAATGACAACTGTCAAAGGTGTAATTTCCCTTTACTTTGTTAAAATTTCCACTCAGACAACAATTAAAGCCTAGTGGTTTAAAGTAGGGCTGCAACTAATGATAATTTTTTGATTAATCGGATAAAAAAATATAATAAATACTATCCTTAATTAAAAATGCAATACACAAATGGAGTGTTACAAAGTTTACTTCAGAATAAAACTGCATGCAATCGTACTGGACTGGAACGGACAGCATTGCGGTACCGGTCGTTCCAGTGCGGGAGATCACACTGTGGGTGGGAGGCACATTTGGGATGCAATTTAAATGAATGGCACTACAACGCACCTTCCACGGCTGAATTTGTCAAGCCGAAAACGAAAATGACTATTTTCCCACCTTTTATATTTAAAAAAAAAAAACTTGTATTGTAAGCACATGGCACTTGAATAGCTTCAGCCAGGGAATATAAATACAGCAGATAGTGGGCTGGTGCAATAGCCAGCCTGTAATTGGCCATTCCAAATTGCAATAACCAATAGCAGCATGGCTATTGCACCCAGCCACTGCTTGCTGTGCCCTCCTCCCAGCGTGGAGGAGAGAGCTAGGGGATCCAACTAACTAAACGATAATGAGAATAGTTGACAACTATTCTCATTATCGATAAATCGATTCATTGGTTGCAGTTCTGGTTTAAACCCTTACTCAATCTCTCAAAATATATGTTTTATCTTGTAATGTGTGATGAAAGTTAACACATATCACGTTTGTTTTAAAGGAAGCTATACCATACTCATGTAATCTTGGGTTTACAATAAATTTTTAATACATGGCATGGCGCAGTAGTAGCAGCCTGCCTTTGTGGCTCACAAGGATGAGTACGTTCTCTGGTTCATCCCCTTTCATGGCTTAATTTCTGCTTGAGCTGTTAAGCTCTGTGATCAACAGACATTCCACACAAAGGTAAGTTAAGAACACACAAAAAAGCGACTGTATGACCATAATAAAACAAGAAAATCTATTGAAACTACATATGAAACTACAATGCATAAGAAAAATCGATTGAAACCACAGTACGTTTCAACTGAGGTGACAATGCATGATTGTAAAATCTAAACAGCAAATTTATTCAATTAGAATATTAAGTGAAATTTGTAACTGAAAACTGTATTAACATATTTGTCGCCAATGGTTCAAATAATAACAAACATTAGCACTGCAATAGTAATTAATAGGCATGGTATGTCCCTGTGGTTAGCACTTCTGCCTTGCAGCACCTAGGGTCCCCGGTTCAAATCCCAGACAGGACACTATCTGCAAGGAGTTTGCCTGTTCTCCCTGGGCTTTTGTGGGTTTCCTCTGGGTGCTCCGGTTTCCTCCCACACATGCTGGTAGGTTAATTGGCTCCTCTCTAAAATTGTCCTTGTATGTATGCATGTGAGATAGGGACCTTTGATTGTAAGCTCCTTGAGGGCAGGGACTGATGTGAATGTGCTTTATGTAAAGCGCTGTGTAAATGGTCAGCGCTATATAAATACCTGTAATAAATAAATAATGAAACTGATCAGTAAACTTCATGACAGCACCTTCTTTGTTTTTGTTTTTTTATTTAGTGATGAAAATTTCCTGTTGGGTGCTAATTTCTCACCATTAGGGAGATCTTCCCTCACTTTCTGTCCCTGTGACATCAAGATACAAAATGGGGAAGCAGTTCTCACCAGCACAGGGAGGCACTAACTGCAATAAAAATACTGTCAGATGTTTTAACCCAACTGATTTCACTGAGAATATGTTCCTTCTTCCTGTCCTGTAGAAAGTTAGGGGAAATCTCTGAATAGGGACAAAGACAACAATGAAAACCTTAACCCTTTCCACTCAATCCCAATTAAGCTGTAGTTGGCTAAACAGAAATCTGTGAAATTGTCCCCTGAACAGTAATAAAGAACGATCCACAGCTCAGTAAACCTTAGATTACCTGAAGTATGAATACATAAAAAATGTTTGGCCATGTTGCCCAAAGTGCAGCAGATCACAGGGTTTGCTGTAGAAAAGACACCTTAATATAGCCGCTACTTGAAAAATAAGTGAGTTGTTTTGCTCTTATACCATGCTTTCTGGCAGACTAATTGCATACTTATAAGATAAGGCAAGTTAAATAATGTATTTTCATCTATAGCAGCTGACATTCTAATTCCATCAATCCTGCCATTCTGTGGGCAAGCTTTTGAGATCTTGAAAATAATTTGTAGTAATCATTTCCTTCATCATTTTACCATACACATACATTTTATTTTTATAAACTTGGAGAACTACTTTTGCAAGTGCATGCAGGGATAGATCATCTAAGTCTAATTTATTAAAAGAGCAGCTGACTCATCCAAGCAGTTTGCTATCCTTTGCTACTTTTATGCTTCCCGACCTCCCATCTATTTCTTGCTGTGCTTTCACACACCTGCAAAAACAGCGTGCATTAGGCCCCGTTCACATATAGCGAATTGTCGCGCGATTTCTGCCGCGATATCACGCATTTTTGCCGCGCGATATCGCGAGAAGTCGCCGGCCAATGCTATTCAATGGAGCTGTCTTAACTCCATGTCGTGCGTCGCTCGTCGCGGTCGCTTCTACCGGACCCTTTTTCCGGCGGATTTTTCACGATTTTGCTTTTTTTCTATGGAGCCCGACGGAGAAGGTCGCGCTACCATCGCTGGAACGTCGCCCCGAAAGTCGCGCTATCCCGGCCGCTGACAAGGTATGTCGCTATATGTGAACGGGGTCTAACATTTTAATAACTTTTTTTTTTTTTATTATTATGTGGGTGCCGGGTCCAAAGAGTCAGATTGAGATTTCTATTTCACACATGAAGATTTTAGCTAAATGTTATTCCAATCTTAATAAATCATGCTGAGTTTAGAGCCATGTTATTAAAGCCCTATTGAACTTTCAGTTTTAAAGAGTGAAAAACATTTTAGGTGTATCAAAACGAAAGGGGTGCAAAGTCTTAACGTTTGTCTTCTTTAGAAAGGAGCCACAGCCCTGCCAGCAGCTGCAGAGTGGGACCCTTGCTCTCTTTGTGAAAGCAGTGGTCTCTTTGCAGAGGTCTGACACGTCCTCTACTAAGTTGGAGCTAGATATAGCCCCCCAGACAAAACAAGCACTTAACCCTTGCAGTGCAGATGTAGATCCATTGCAAGTGTATTTTAAAATCTCATAGTTCTTCTTTAAGTTATTATTCTTAAATAATGTAGAATTCACAGGTTTGCCATAAAAACTATATGTGCACTACAACACTAAAAATGTTGGTTCAATTCACATATGCAACTTGTTATTTTCCATAGATTTATCAAAATCTGAAACAACAAGTTGTCAAGAACTGTGACATGCTACACCAAACATAAACTCTGTAATACACAGCAAAAACAAATATCAGTATATTTCTGTAAGCTGAATAAACATGCACTTTTTCAGAATAGTTTATCTTATTTAATTGTCAATGTAGATTAACAGTGCACTATGCTCAAAATATAAATCTAACATTTAAACCTGATCAGTGCATACAACATTGTAATATTAAATGTGCCAAAATATTAGAGGATGGCCATTTAAGAACGCTGTTTCTCCACACCTGTCCTCAATCCCCACCGACGTTGTATGCTTTGCAGGTAACTTCCACAGGTGTTTGTGCATTTTGGCCCTATATGTCTCCCACTGAAATTAAGTGAAACGCATCAAAACCCAAGTCAGTGTCTGTAGCAATGTTCTTTGCATTGCAGGTCAACGAGCACACTTTACCATGGGTTTGCATAATTGACATGCAATTTAATGTGTGCCCAATGTTTTTGGAAAATGTATCTCACTAAAATACACAAGTATGGTTCCAGCCATAGTGTCTCAGCAATGTAATTGGCTATATTGTCTATATCCACAATCCACAAAAAACTGTTGGTAGGAATAGAGGAGTGGTTTGGACAATAATCTACCCAGATATCTGTCTTATGCAAAGAATCCTAATATTTATTATAGGTATTTATATAGCGCCAACAATTTACACAGCACTTTCAGCACCATCAGTTCCTGCCTTCAAGGAGCTTACAATCAAAGGTCCCTATCATATATGCATACATACAAGGGCCATTTTAGACAGGAGCCAACTAATCTACTAGCATGTCTTTTGGGGTGTGGGAGGAAACCCACGCAAGCACAGCGCACTAATTAATGTTGTATAGTCATTAGGAAATTGAATCATATTCAAGCAACTTTCAGCTCCAGGTCCATCCAATTAGCACAGCCAAAATACAAAAGCCAAATGATGTAGTCACACCCCTTAATAAATGTAGTATAATACAGAATGAACAGATAGCTCATAAATCCAGCTGCTACAGAGTAACACCTTTATTACGGCTGCTTTTTGCTGTCTATTATCTAAAATTGCCATTTAGGGCTCACTGACACAGATGTGCACAGCTGTACAGTGTGCATGTCCGTGCAGAAACAGCTGGTGTGTGAGCATCATGCAGCTGCCTGTACAACTCAATGACAACTCAACAGTACATGGCTGCATGTGGCTACACAATGACCCGAACTTGCACACCCATACAGGTATCAGCGCACAACCTTGTACGTGTCCTTTCATTGAGTTGTACAGGCAGATGCACACAGCTTCATGCACCTGGGTGCAGGTTTCTGCACTGACACGCATGCTGTATGGCTGTGGACATCCATGTGAATGAGCCCTGAAAGTGAAAAACAATGCTAGTGTAGCCACCTTGCCCTAACTGGGGAAGCTAAAGCAGAGCTAAATGTACAGTAGGAGCCGCTGCTCGTTTAATACGAGAGATCAGAGATCGAGATCAACATAGAGCAGACGAAGAACGGACATTCTTCGTCTGCTCTGTGTGATCACTGAGACCGTGGCGCTGTAATCACAGCGCCACCTACTCAGCGGTCACTAACTGCAGCTTCTGTCACAGAAGCTGTGACAGAAGCTCCGGTCTGCTCAGTGCTCCATAAGGCGCACCGGACCTCCCTGCGTCCTATGGTCCGGTGCGCCTTATGGAGCGCAAAATATGGTATTGTATCCAATCTAGCTGATTACATAGTCTGTACTCTTTTGGCTTTCCCTAAGGATTCTGTTATTCATTGCATCTGCCTGCTGCTGGGTGTAACCTTGCCACAGAGCAGAGCAACAAATAGTGGAATGTCATGTATATACATGTCTCTCCAGCCATTCACTAGGAGTTTAATGGCCAGTGGTGCATGCTGGGAGAGAACATAAATATCTGAATCTGACCATGTGGAAGCCTCTTTCTCCTGCGGACCTGCTGCCTGGGAGAGGTGTGTTATGAGTGTGCTGTCTGACAAGGCCTGAAGCCTGCAGGTGGTCAGGTGAGGACTCAGTCGGGGTCACAAATTATTCCTGGGATGGAGAGCCAGGGAGGAACTTCGTCTGCTGGAGGTACCAGAGAAGCCAAGGATGGGTTTGGACCTCAGTCTGGTGTCTCACCTAGGGGAGATCTCAAATATGTCTATCAACCAGCTATAGTTCTCCAACACTTTGTCACCGCATTTTAGGTTTAAAGGCCCTCTACACTGTGAAGCTGGAAAGCATTCAGTGAGTTTGGAGTTCTGTTTGATCCTAGATATCTGCAGCCCTAACCCTCTCTCACTGTTTTACTGTTCATCGAATAAAGAGTTATACCATTTTTAAAGTGACCGGCACCCAAATTTGCTTTCATGTCCCACAATTTCGGCTAATCCCTGAGGTGAAATGTCACCTCCTCCTGCCCCTAGAAGTCAGGGGGATGATACACTAGTTTATCTCTGCTAAATAACCACCAAAGAGTTGGGAATCAACACACATTTTTTAATGTGCACCAAAATCACTAGTATTGGAAACATTTCTGAAATACAATGGTGGATCTCAGGAGACCAGTGTCATTGTGAGAAGGCACCTGAGAGGTTGAAAACTTTTGCATAATCTTCTATTTAGTTTTGCTGATAAGGTGCTACCATGTATAGTAATAAGGAGATTGCCCAATATGTTGTAAATAGTGGTCAAAAACATCAAAAGAAAAAAAGATAAGATCATCCTGTGGTTATTAATTTTTGAATGAGGAGATTCTTCTGTGAATTGCCAATTAAAATGCACTGAGGTTGTACAGTATATGAAACGATAGCTTATTTTTAAGTCACATCAATCACCTGGAAAATATTTGACAACAGAAATTAAATTAAACGACTTACCAGTGTGTAGGCGTATATGAACCTTTAAACTTCCGGAGGTAGAAAAGCATTTCATGCAGAAGTCACACTTAAAAGCTTTAATGCCCGTGTGTGTCTTGATGTGAGCAGTCAGGGTGCTTTTGACAGCAAAGGCCCGGAAGCACTGCAGACATTTAAATGGCTTCTCATGTGTGTGAATGCGGATGTGCCGCACCAAGTCACTGGGCTTCTTAAACTCCTTTGAGCAGTACGTACACACATGCCATCGGACCCCACTCTCTTCTCTGACTGATCCTGAAACTAAGGACTTCTTGTTAGTCAGTTGTGAATACATGAATTATTCATAAACTCATTATAGTGATAACATTACTGTATAACGTTTCTGTTGTAATGGCCACATAGAAAAGTGGAGCTAGAAATACCCTAGTCAAAGCAAAAAGTCTAGCGATAAGAAGTCGTTGCCCATTTGAACTAAGAAAGTGCTTTTTGTGGGTAGCTGCTGCTTTACTTTGTTCCAATGGCAATCAGACCCAATTCCTGAGTTTTGTTACTGTCTTATATAGCTTACAGGCGGTCTTCAACGGATGAAGGCAAGAAATATTTTTGAATGTGCAGAATTATTTTCCGAATGATTCTTAAACATGATTGTTTACTATCAGTAAAAGAAGCTGTTAACACCAATATACATTACAATAAATTACATTTGTTACAAACCTGGCCATTTTACACTGAGTTTATGATGAAAGAAGGCATGAGGCATACCTTCCATGAAAACTGTATGTGAAAATGATCTGTAGATTTAGAGATATAGGCAGGAGTTGTATACACAAATTACAACTTTTCTTTTAAAAGTTGAGCTTGGTTTCACCCACTTCCACCGCTTTACTGGTCAGTGAGGCAACCCATCATAAGAAAAAGGAACTGAGAAGGGCAAGACAAAAGACTTCACAGTAAAGGTTGCGATATGGATCTAACTTCAGCTGGCTATGAGAGACACTAGAGACAACTTCTACTTTAGCATGTTTTTTCATCAAATGCTCAGTTTGAATCACCCAAGTTTGTAACAGAATTCCTTTATACTTGGATACATCTTGTATTTCTGCAGGATTTGTCCCAGTACTACCTGGTGTGAATGTAGATTTCTTTTTAAATATCCTTTTTTCAGACTTCTCTGTCTTATCCTGATCTTCTTGATCCACCCCAGGCTCCTGGTCATTACAGTCCATTTGCTGGCTTGAAAGACATTCAATCTCTTGATCGGCTGTCTTGGCTTGACTTGTGTCACTGGGAAGAGGAGCAACTGGAATCGATGACAATCCACTGTTTTCTAGAGCTTGCTAACATGGAAACAATAGAAAAGAAAATATGCCATAATTACTTGCATCTTACTCACTAATTCTCATTAAACCATAATTACATAGCCAAGCTATACCTAATAAAAAATAGGCTAGTTATCATAAGACTAGCTTCCCAAAGTGCAGTATTTCTAGGATCATTTTTCACATTAATTCTGAAAGTTTGATAACTAATTTAACAATGAATTAAAAACAAAATGAAATTGACTGTAAATTGTGCTAGCAGTTTACTTGTAATTTGTTTGCTTTGGTAGAAGTCAATAAACAGCTCACAGGCCTGAGTGTAAAAGTTAAAGCAGTTGTCAAGCTAAATAAATACGGACCGTACATTTTACTGGCAGGATGAACAGGTATAAAGAGATTTACAAGTAGATGGGAGACAGGAGACAGCACTGCGGGTTAAAGGTTAAAAGGTTTCACATAGTTAAAGTAGGATTAAACTCTCAAACTTTTCTTCATTAATAAATCCAGATCAATCAAATATACATTACCCAGCAAAGTGTGTCTTTACATTTTTTCTCAAGCACTTACAGACATCATGTTTCCAAACAGCTGGCTCTAACTCTCTCCGCTCAACTTCCCTGAACGTCCTGACCAGTATAAGGATACAAGGGACAGAGCAGTCTCCAGCAGTTGTCCCTCTACTAGCTTAGATGAGGGAAGAGGAAGAAGGAGGGGGAGCAAAGGAGTGCCTTGCCTTTCTGTGTCTGTTTGTTTGTGGAACAAAGTCCAAATCCCATTCGCACTGCCACGGTCTCAAAACTACAAGGTATATGTGGTGCCCAGATGACCACACGGATGGCGCCGCGCAAAACACTAATAGTAAATAAAAGTAATTCACCGGCACACACTTGAAGGGTTTTTTAAAGTATTGATATGTTTATTCAATACCCAATGTCACATACTGTCATACGGTGCTAACGTTTCGGGTCCGCACAGTGACACTGTAGCTCTGATGAAGGATCCCTGTGCGGACCACACAAGGGTGGCTCCATAGGACTCTACAAGGAAAACAGCCACCCTAAAACAGGATATCAGGCCCAGTGCTCAGGGGACCAGCAAATTCTGCAGGAAGCTAAACCTATTAAACATCAAGGCAGCATCCACTGTAAATTATTTAATCAGCATTTGAAATAGCTTGACTTTAATATTACTTTAATGTATAACTCCCGCCATTTTTTTTTTTTCGTTTTGGAAAGTGTGGGGCAGTGGAAAAAAAAATTCTGAGAGGTTTTTATTTCAGTGTTTAGTTACAATGGTAACATTTTCCCTCACTTCTTGTCCTGGTGATTTCCAGTCCAGAAATGGAAGAGTGGGAGCATCACCAAGACAGGAAGGCACGGACAGCAAACAATTGTCAGAAGTTCTGACCCTTTCACACTCTTCTAAAAATGTGTTTCTGATTTTGTGTGTGTCCCCACCAAAAGGATTTCCAATCATTTTCTGTCCTGTGCTGTCGTGCTCAGGGTTAAAGTACAACAGGCATTTCCTCACGTGTAAAAGCAACATCAGTGCCGCTAAAAAGACAGATATAAAACTTGCTGTACGAAAATGCTGAAACACATTTTGGTGCATTTACCTGTGCTTCAAATGCTATGCAAAAAATAATAAAACTGTATCCTCCAACAGCATTCATATAGGTATGATAGAGGTATAGAAAAAAAGGTATATAAAAAAAAAAGAGTAAAAGTAAAGCTCTGGAAGGACAGTCATGTCCCTTGCACTGGTAACTAAGATTTCAAATTTTGCAACTGGAGGCAACACCTGATATCACATATGATTACTCTAATAAATATATGCTTTTAATTGCACAAAGAATTAAGCTGGCATACACTAAAGGTGCCCATACACCTTACAATTATCTGCAGATTTTCTGTGGTCAGATGGAAAAGGTGCAACAGATTCCTCCATCTACACTTAACTGTGTGGATGGAGGAATCTCCCACTGGGCCAAGCTTCCGTAATCTTGCTAGTCGGCCCCGCTGGCTCTCAAAACACCTGAACAATGCCTGCATCCAATGAGAGTGTTCAAGTATTTTGACAGCCAGCGGGGCCAACTAGCAAGATACTGAAGCTTGGCCCAGCAGGAGATTCCTCCATCCACACAGTTTAGTGTAAATGGAGGAATCTGTTGCACTTTTTCCATCGATCTGACCATAGAAAATCTGCAGATAATTGTAAGGTGTATGGCCAGCTTAAGACTTTCTGGCAGGTAACAGACAAAATATGAAACGTCTATGGCCAGCTTTAGAAGAGACCTACAGTAAGGTTTCAAACAACACAATGACCATCTTTGCATTGTCAAATTTTAATTCGAAATATACTGGAGGCTATAAGGATTTGCTAAGTGAGGAAGCCAGCTGCATAAGGTGGATGTCAGAATAAATTTAGGGCCACTCAGCAAGTAAGTCACCTGGGTTTAGAAGGTCAAGATGTTGATGCATAAATGAACTGTACTTTCATGATTGCTACCTTTAGCTACTATGATTACAGAAAAGAGAGGCAAAACCAGAGGTTTTCTACACTCCAGCTTCAAGTACACTTTTTCCTTTATCTGAATAAACATTGGGGTAGCAAAAATAATAGAAACTGCATTAGCTACATGTGCAATTTCTTTTTTTTATTTTCTTAAACTCATTTATCTTAGAGTGCACATACCCACCTGTAAAATGTCTCTGTTAATGCCCACAGCAATATTCAGTGGCTGCCCTGCCTGCTGAGTCTGAGGGTTTTCTATAGGCACAGGTTCAGAAAGCTCTAGAAGCTGCTGGATAACATCTGTCACAGCTGGCTGTTGTCCTTGTTGCGCAACTGAGGAATTTGCTGTGTCTGTCTGAGCTGGCACAGAGCGAAAAACTACTGTCTGCTGGGGAGAAAAAAATATTGTTAGTAAATTCATCACCAATGTTACAAAGAAAAGGGAAGCAAAACACTCTCATTGCAAATATGAAAAACAAAACTATAATTATGAAACTGTTGGGGATTGTTCACACCATTTTTTGATTCAGATCTAGTGCAGATCTGCAGACGCGGTGCTATGTGTGCAGCGTGTTTTTCACGCGTTTTTACCGCGTTCCAGTTCCTTTTTTTGGTGGAGTGGGGCTGTCAGCTGTTAACTGCAGTGCGGTGCGTTTTTTAAGTGTTCGTGCACGTTCCGGACCAGAGAAAATGTGACATGCAGTATTTTTTTCTGTCTGAAACGGAACGGACTGCGCTGGTGAGAACTGGAGCCCATAAAACACATAGGGACACATTGGAATGCATTTTTAGTGCAGGAGCGAACTGTTTTGGTCCGGACAGAATACGGACATCGTGTGAACAAGCCCTTAAATAGGTCCTTTTCATGATATGGACCCGTCCACGTATAAAAAAAATCTCTACTCATACAATTGATTAATGAGGCTAGAATTAAAATCCCTAAAGTTCTTGAAGCAACCATACACCTCTAATGTATAGGCAGGAGATAAAGAAATGATAAAAATGTCCACCCCCTGGACAGTTTTGTTTTTTAGTGCATCTAGCATCCTACTTCTGCAGGTGGAAATAAACCCAGTCAGTGATTATGTAAGCAGAGCTGTGTCCTCCAACGAATGAAAGAAATTTAAACTATAATCTTGAAACAGTAAATTTAATTTACAGTCATTTTCATAATAAAGCATACAGTACGAAAAGGATATTACAAATGACAAAGAAAAGGCCAATTAGACCTTTAAAACACTTGTGTTGAGCTGAGCATAGGCAATAACAGCTCGGCTTGCTAGCGAAGCCTATTCCCCTTTTGTATTAATTTTATATGATCTCTGTTTGATGTTTTTTTGTTTTTTTTTAGCCCTTTATGTCTTACAAATTATGTTTAACCACCTTTGTCAGGCTGCACAGAGACCAATCCATGTGCTTACTGACTGTGCTAGAAGTAATTTATTTCTAGTTCTCCTCACTCTACCTGGCCTCACTAAGTAATCCAAGTACATGTACAGTGCAGAAAAATAATTTAAATGTGGATTGCCAAAGCACTGCTTGCATTCATTTATAAAACTAGGGCAAGCTGTACACTTTTATTTACAGTATATGTGGTCAATTTAAAAAAAAAAAACACTAAAAGAAATATTCTTGTATAGTACATGCTGAAAGGGTGGCAATTTCTGTACTGTCCATGTATTTTCCTACCTACTTTTTACAACTTGGCAAGGTAAATAAATATTGGAAATAAAAGTGTACAGCTTACCCTAGTTTTATAAATGAATGCAATCTCCTAAACTAATGGCAAGGAAAGGCAACTGCTTATTACATTTTTACCTGAAGATTCTCCTAAACTAATGGCAAGGAAAGGCAATTGCTTATTGAGTGATGGTGGCACCATCACTCAATAAGCAGTTGCCTAAGGTACCAAAAAGCAGATGGTAACTGTTTAGTAGGAAATTGTTTGGCTGTTAAAAGATACCTTACATGCCAAACACACCCTTGAAACACTCAGGCAATATCAAATTGTGAACCACAAATTCCATTTGCATACAAACTGGCCAACTACATACTTTCCAACCTATTACCTAAGAAAAAAAGAGATCTCTCATTCTCACACAACCTCTTCCCCAGCTTTGATCTTACCGGAAGCAAATGGCATTGTACCTGATGGGCTTGGTCTATTCTAAATGAAAAATACAGTCACTGCTGGTAGATTATCATTTGTTACTCAACAACATACACTATTCAATATTGATGCAATGTTTCAAAATGCATCAAACAAAATGTTGTCTAATATTACTGGAGAGTCAAATTAGAATCCCCTTTAGGGTCCCTTCACACCTGTGTGTGTTATTATATGCATTGCGTTAAGGTGTAGATATAGTCAAAAACTGTTTCTTTTGTTTTTGGAGTAGCGAAAGGTTACAACCACTATAAAATATATTGTTTGCTCTCTGTGTCACGTTGATTTCTTTCCACTTCGTGTCTTAGAGATACAACAAGAAGAGGAACCCCCTGCCCCCCCCCCCCTTCAACGTTAGGAGAGGTCCCCTCTTATAACAGGTCTCACCACGGAATGGTTTACCCTCAAATCTTGTTCTAATAGCAGATCTAAAATGTGCAACACTGGTCACTAGAACAAACAGAGGGGGAACAGACAGCAATAACAATTTGACAGAGGGTCTAGCCTTTTCTCAATTAAGTCCAAACCCCCCACCCCCCCAAAAAAAACCCCAACGTGCATACACTTAAAGGCAGCCTATTCAGTGTAAATTGATCCTTATCAAGAAAAACAAAATGCCTGCACTGTTTTTGCCCAATGCATTCATATATGTGCATTGTGGTGCTTTAAGGGGCATGTGTGTTTCTTTACACTGTATATTTGAATTGGGGAGCTTCAGAATGAATGGTGATGCAATGTAACACACATATAATGCGATGAATGCCCTTAAAGTTATCAATGATCTTAATTATGAAGAGATTTACAATCCCATGCCTAATACCAAACTGTTACAAACCAAACAAAAAATATATTATATCAGTGGAAGGTGCGATGATATAAAGGTGTGTGGAAAATGTGATAAACGGCTATTACATCTCTCTCTTTTGCATGATTGGAAGTGGATCTAAATGCTCCTACAAAGAACAGAGTAAGCTAGAGATTGATTATAATAGCAGTAAAAGTTTCATAGGCACAGAAATTAATTTTGCTAAGCCAAGGATTTAAAAAATGTTTACAACTGGCTTACATGTTATAAAAATGCAAACTGGTAAGAGCAACCATATCTTTTTGAGCCAAAGCAGCAGACTTACATTTTTCCACTTGTCATCAGGTGACTGCTGCAGAAGGCCTGCATCAGGAATTGCTGGTGGTTGAGATGTATCCTACACAAGACACAAAATAAGTGTAATTTTAATTTGCGCAGTACCTAAAGGATACATAAAAATGTCCCAGGAAAACCCCATGGCAACTATATGCTGCTTCTCTGTGCTCTAAGGCCACACTGCCATAATCTAGCTGATTTAAGCCATACAGGCCAAATATCTCCATGTTTACAGGTAATGGATACCTGAACCGGACATCCCCAGTGACCCAATCAATGGTGGCTGTGTTGTATTTTTTTTGTTGGATAGTCATTATTATTCCTCTACAGATTACCTGATGACAGCAATGTGTCTAACTCATCTACCTTGAGTTTGTCTAGCTTTAGGATAAAAGGTTCCTGAAAAACATTCAAAAAAACCCCTTCATTAAAAAAAATGTTTTGTATAAGACGCCCTTCAGGAAAATGCATAAACATTAACTTGATACTATACACAAGTTACCACAAAACAGCAATTTATTTACCATGTTTACATGGTTTGGTGCTTCTGTTGAGGTTGGTGTAGTCTGCGATCCCAGTACATGCATCTTGCTGATGTGGGTATTGAGACTGCCAAGGCTTTTAAAAACACAGCTACAGTCTGTGCAATTATATGTAACACCATTCTTCACCTTTACAAGCAAAGACAAACATTAGATAATAAACCAACATGTTACCTGAAATAATCCATTTATTTATACAAACTTTAATGGGGGCGGTGGGGAAAAAAAAAGTAATATCGGAAAAGAAAAAAGGACTGAGATGAGGGGAACAATAGTCAGATAGAAAGAGACGG